GGCCCATATCCAGAGGTTGTGGGTTGCCTCATGTACCTGATGACCTGCACTCGACCTGACCTTGCCTACCCTCTTAGCATCCTAGCACACTACGTTGCGCCGAGGAGACACCGACCAGAGCACTAGGAGGTTGCTAAGAGGGTGTCGCTAATTGTGCAGTACATTGGGCATGGGGCTCGTGCTTGGAGGACGGAGTCGAGTTGTCCTCACTGGACGATCCGACGCGTCTTGGGTTGACGACTTGGCTACGAAGCGGTCGTCACAGGGTTTACACGTTCAGCCTTGGCTCCGGCTCTGTTTCTTGGCGGTCTACCCGCTTGTCTTGTGTTCTCAGCTCCAGTTGTGAGGCTGAGATCTACACAGGAGCCATGGCTGCACAGGAGTTACGCTGGCTCACGTACCTGTTGACCGACTTGGGAGAGCGGCTTCGTTCTCCTCCAGTTTTGTACGTAGACAACAAGGCCGATATTGCCTTTTGACAGGAGCACAGACTGGAGCACAGAACGAAGCACATCGCTCTGCGTTACTTCATTGCTCGAGAGTTCCAGCAGCGTGGTCGGCTTCGTCTTGCTTACGTGGCCACTCAAGCCAATACTGCTGATATATTCACCAAGGCACTTCCGCCTGGTGATCATTAGCGTTTCTATACTGCTTTAGGCCTTGTGCCTGCTTCATCTCACTTGCTCACTTTGTAACTTTGCTTGTACTATGATCTATATACATATATACCTGCATGCTTACTCTTGCTAGGTAGTGATCACTGTATTGTTTGTTCTCTTTTATATAACTCTGCATGTGAACTGGCCTTGTGGCATTTGCTTGTGCTCGGAATGTGTGGTGACTTCGTGATCCACTCTGGCTTGCTTTGCTTTGCTCTTCTCTTGACGATTGACGATCCTTCGCCACCGTTCCCCGCCGAGGTTTCGTTGACGATCCTTCGCCACCGTTCCCCGCCGAGGTTTCGTTGACGATCCTTCACCATCGTTCCCCGCCGAACAGAACGTGATAGGTTCCTTGTAAGGAGAACATTATATTCCTTCGAACCCCATGTTGCATACATTCTAACACGACAAAAAAAAAACAAACAAACAAACAAACAAAATATTGATGCAATAGATGACCCAAGTTGAGACTATTCATCCATTTCCTCGTCAACACAAGTGGCGTACACATTTGCAGAAACAAGATGTTTCGGTATTCCACCAACGTACTTCGCACCGTCCCAAACTTCCTTCGCGACATACCGTACTTTGCACATGTGATGTGAAACGCCACCAAACTCCAAGAACTTCACACCCTGTATGTTCATGGATGGACAGTGAACAAGCTTTGAAGACCCGTCCAAATTACTTACAAGAACATCGCAACACCACACAATAATACGGAGTCAATGTGATGATGCGGTATAGACACAATTTGATGAGTAAATGATGCTGATAGGTGGTGACCAAACATGACTTCAACTGTATCGATATTTGTCTCCAAAAGAACAACACGAGTGAATTAAATATGAAGGTACTCATGAGATGGCTTCATAACCACTAACACACAGGAACACCACTGCATGCCAGCATATCACATATCACATGTCCCTGTCCACAAGCAAGCACGCGATACACATTAGCACAGTCACATGCACTTCCCAGCCATGCTGCTGATGGCTGCTTTTGCTGCAGCCGAAGGTTCATGAGTTGACATAGAAAATATGCAAACACCCACACCCACACTTACTCAACCATCCCCAGACACATCACTTACAGGTCTGATGCTAGAAGATCTGTTGCCAGAAGATCTGATGTTTAGAGATCTGATGAAAAAAAAACTGATACTCCCAAGGTTCCAGCAGCTTGTTGGGGAGCAGAATTGTTGCTGGTGGTGCTTCTGGTGCTTCTGCTTGTGGTGCTGCTGCTGCTGCTGCTGCTGCTGCTGGTGGTGTTGCTGGCAGTGGTGCTGCCACTGGTGCCAAATCTGAACAGCTTTGCGAGTGAGCTGACTCCCTTGACTCGTGCTACAGTAGGTAGAGTACAAATACAAGTACTACCATGACATGAGGGTGTTTAGGGTACTACAAGTCGTCGAGTCAAAACAAATTTTGTGCTACACTAGGATAGAAAAAGGTAAAAGTACAAGTACAAGAAAAACTTGCAACAAGAGGGCATTGCGGGAAGACAGCTTGGGTATGGAGTCCTTGGAGGGGACTGGAGGAGGGGGAGGAGAAGTAGGAGGAGGAGGAGGAGGCGGAGGAGGGAAGGGTGGGAAGGAGATACTCTCGGATCTGCACAGCAGAGGGAACGAGAAAGAAATTGGAGGGATGGGTAAATTTGGGTGTGTAGCAATGGCAGGGAGCACATCAAGGAACAGGGGGTGGGAAGGAGATGCGCTCAGATCTGCACAAGGGAGGGAGCGAGAGGGAAATGGGAGGGATGGGTAAATAAGATGGGAGCACATAAAAAGATGCTCAAAGGGGGAGGGAGTAGGGTGAAAAGGAGATGCTCTTGGACCTGCACTAAGGAGGGAGTGAGAGGGAGCTGTGAGGGGCATGGGGAACCATGGAGTTGGTGAGCTTGCGGTTGTTGTAGGGCTTCAGGGGGAGTGCAAAGTGGTGCAAGGGTCAGCAAGAAGAAATATGTCTGGTGCTATGCTCACTTTGCGTCTCACACAGTCAACCGCATTGTGCAACCATGGCATTGATCAGCCAGTGATTGGAGGGCGTCCGGGTGAGCGCGAGGCGTATTCTGACAAACTCATGCAGAGGTATATCTGAGTCACTACGTCCGACTCAACCGCATCGCACAGCCATGGCATTGATGAGCCAGCGATCGGAGGGCAACCGGGTGAGTGCGAGGTGGTGCCAAGGTCAGCAAGAAGAGATGTGATGGGATTCCATGCTCACGGCGTGTCTCACACACTCGTGACCACTTCCAACACTCCCCTTACTGGGAGGGCCCACCACTAGGGCACAGGCTGTTTACCGGAATGGAACCCCGAGTCCTCCACGCTCACCACACCATGCGGAGAATCAGCCTTCAACGTGAGGGGACTACATGAGAGGTCACGAGGTGATCGAAGCGTTGCTTAACGTTCTCACTACTTGCTCAGTTCGTGGGTAAAATTGACAAAGAGTTTCACTAAGAAAAGGTGGAAGAACAAAAACACAATGGCAAAGAAGTCGATATATCAGGAACAAAGCAACATACCTAGCAACCTAGCAACGCGAACGCAGAACGAAAGCGGCGTGCCAACACCGCAGAAAGGCGGCGTGCCAACACTGCAGGAAGGCGACATGCCAACGCTGCAGCAAGCAGCTTGCCAGCGTTGCACCAAGTCGGCCTTCCAGCACTGCAGTCGCAGGTGAACATCTGCGTACATGTGCGTCGCCTACCAAGTAGGTGCAGGTCTGCACATCAGACGGTTGCGTGCACGTCGTGCGCGTGATGCACATTGCGCAGTTGCCAGGTCGTCGAGCACATGATGCTCGTCCGGCAGTTCGACTTTCGCCAAAACCGCCTGGGGCGAAGTTCGCGCACACGCATAACTTCGCCAATCAGTTACTTGGTGGACAAGTAGAAGGCTACTCAGCCGACGCCGACTTCGGCGCCAGTCGGTCGACATCCATCGGCGCCCATCGGTTGGCGTCATGTCGACTATAATTTTTGTTGCCCATCGAGGCTCGACGTCGTCTGCCAACTTCTCTTCGCCGGCCAGCGTCTAGTCGGTTTCGCTGAGGGCGGTTTCTTTCTGGTTTCGCCGAAGTCGACAAACCAATCTCGTGGACTTCCTCCTCCAGGTCGGCGTGGACCACCAAGCGTAGCCGGTTGCACACCTTGTGCACCGGACAGCAAAGTTTGCTTCGCCCAAGAAAGGCCAGGACAATTTCTCGTCAACAGTGCCAGTGTCAGCAAGAACAGATGTGACGGGCTCCCATGCTTACAGCGTGTCTCACACACTCGTGTGTTTTCAGTCAACTCAAAGCACACATGCTCGCTACACGTCTCACACACTCGCCCGCATTGTGCAGCCATGGCATTATGAGCTTGTGCCAATTTTGAGAATTCTCTAAGTAGCAATTCATGATCGACTCACCCGCATTGCGCAGCCATGGCTTCAATGAGCCCACGATCGGAAGGCGTCTGGGTGAGTGCGGCCCGTCCTTCCTCCTGGGGAGTGTGAAGAGGCGTGGAAAAATGGGGAGTGTGAAGAGGCGTGGAAAAATGGGGAGTGTGAAGAGGCGTGGAAAAATGGGGAGTGTGAAGAGGCGTGGAAAAATGGGGAGTGTGAAGAGGCGTGGAAAAATGGGGAGTGTGAAGAGGCGTGGAAAAATGGGGAGTGTGAAGAGGCGTGGAAAAATGGGGAGTGTGAAGAGGCGTGGAAAAATGGGGAGTGTGAAGAGGCGTGGAAAAATGGGGAGTGTGAAGAGGCGTGGAAAAATGGGGAGTGTGAAGAGGCGTGGAAAAATGGGGAGTGGATGGAAGGGGAGTAGATAGAAGGGACGCCAAGAAGGGTATACTAATGTGATTTTCCGAATCAACTAGAAATCACCTAGAAAATCACCTCTTGTTCCTATTGTAGGTGAGATTCATATGTTGTTGCATGCATGCATGCATGTGCGTGAGCATGGGTGAATGTATGCGTGCATGCATATGTGTACGCATTTGCGTGTGCATGTATGTGTGTACGCTAGTGACTGTGTGTGTGCGTGCACGCGCGCATGCGTGCGTGCCTGGGTGTGCGCGCGCGTGCGTGCGTGCGTGCGTGGGTGTGTGTGTGTGCGTGCGTGCGTGCGTGCGTGTGCGTGTGCGTGCGTGTGTGTGTATGTGTGTGTGTGTGTGTGTCCATGTGTGCTAGTGATGTGAGCTTGCATCCACACTTGTCTGTGGGGAGGGTGGGGGAGAGGAGGGGGCATGGGGGCAGGGAGGTGCATGTGTGTATTTGTGTGTACGTGCACACGTGTGTGGGTATGTGCACAAGTGTTCGATCATGCGCTGTACTACAGCGCTTACGTAAGGTGTTGGTAAAAGGAGGCCCGTTGTGCTCCCATACGCTGAGATGAACTCTGGAAGAAGAGGAAGAGGAAGAGGAAGAGGAAGTGGAAGAGGCAAACAAAGAGAAGGAAGGGGAAGGGCAATGGGAGGAGGGGGAGGAAGAGGGCATAAAGGCAGCAGCCTTAGCCTGCTAGCTGTGTTGGCAGAGGGGGCGATGGTGACATCAGAGAGCAGCAGGGATGTGCATGGCACAGAGCGGCTGCAGTTGAGTTTTAAGAATTCTTGTTGTTGCAGGTACTCAAAACTAACCTGCAGCAGCTAGCCTGCTAGCTCTGTTGACAGAGGGGGAGATAGCGATATTAGAGAGCAAGAGGGATGTGCACGGGATGGATCGGCTGCAGTTGAAGAGAATGGCGTGTGTGCCATTGGCCGTTCCTGTCACGTTTATGAAGCTGATGTTTGTAACGGCTACTGCCTCTTCCCTCTCCTGGCATTTACTTGGAGAGGCGTCACAATAAAACTGTGAGGGGGTTGGGGGAATGGGGGTGAGGAGAGGAAAAAGCGTGGTTGGGGAAAAAGGAAAGGGGGCTACAGGAAGAAGCCCGACATTTCCATCAGTTGATGCCAAATTCATCAGTTGATGCCAGTTTCATCAGTTGATACAAGTTTCATCAACTCATGCCAATTTCATTAGATCATGTCAATTCTATCGAATGACGTTAGTTCAATCAGATGTTGGCTATACCATCAGCTGATGCCAGTTTGATAAACTGATGCTGATTGATCTAGCAACTGGTGAAAATTCACATGAGCTGATGGAACTGGCATGAGCTGATGGAACTAGCATGAGCTGATGAAAATGGCATGAGCTGGTCTAACTGGCATGAGCTAATGAAACTGGCATGAGCTGATGAAATTGGCATGAGCTGATCTAACTGGCATGAGCTGATCTAACTGGCATGAGCTGATGAAAGGCATGAGCTGATGAAACTGGCATGAGCTGATGAAACTGGCATGAGCAGATGAAACTGGCATGAGCTAATGGAACTGGCATGAGCTGATGAAAATGGCATGAGCTGATCTAAATGGCATGAGCTAATGAAACCGGCATCAGCTGATGAAATTGGCATGAGCTGATGGAACTGGCATGAGCTGATGAAACTGGCATGAGCCGATCTAACTGGCATGAGCTGATGAAACTGGCATGAGCTGATGAAACTGGCATGATCTGATGAAACTGGCATGAGCTGATCTAACTGGCATGAGCTGATGAAAGGCATGAGCTGATGAAACTGGCATGAGCTGATGAAACTGGCATGAACAGATGAAACTGGCATGAGCTGATGGAACTGGCATGAGCTGATGAAAATGGCATGAGCTGATCTAACTGGCATGAGCTAATGAAACTGGCATCAGCTGATGAAATTGGCATGAGCTGATGGAACTGGCATGAGCTGATGAAACTGGCATGAGCCGATCTAACTGGCATGAGCTGATGAAACTGGCATGAGCTGATGAAACTGGCATGAGCCAATGAAACTGGCATGAGCTGAGAAATCTGATACCACTTTACACGCATGGGGAGAGGAACGAGCACCACATTGCACTGCACTGAACCACGGTGCACTACAACCAGGATCAAGTGGGGGCACCCACACAACACTTACCTGATTGATAATAATCGGCCATGTGACATCAGTCACTCGAATGTCTTTGTAAGTCACGTTCGATACAAGACCCTTGCCGCCCTGATACGTCTTGATTCGCAGGGCATTGTTTGACCCCGTGAAGCTCACGTTCCTTACAAGCACGTCTGACACACACGCTGTTGCTTTGTCCCTGCCCAGGCTGCCAATGCTGGGAAAGCGAGGGCAGGTTGGGAAGAGGAAACGATGAGAAGTGGACAGAGGAAGTAGGAGCAAAGTACCCTTTCCGCGCTAACACGCGCGTTACAACGGTCAAAAATACTGTTGAACGTTGTGAGGCCACGTCTGACACACACAAAATCGCCTGGAGCTTGCTAAGCTTCGTATGACCGTTGATTTCATCACCTCACTCCATGACCGTTGATGCCCTCATCTTTCTCCGTGACCGTTGATTTCCCACCTCACTCTATGACCGTTGATGCCCTCACCTCATTCCATGACCGTTGATTGACTCACCTCACTCCGTGACCATTGATGCAGACGAGATTCTCAACCAGCAAATTATGGCAGCCAGCACCGATTGCCACACTGTCATCTCCTGATTGGACCGGGAAAAGGCAACAGATTGGGGGGGAGGGGGGGGGGGGGGAAGAGATTTGGGGAAAGGATGAGGAATGGGGAGGAGAAGGAAGAGGTTTAAGGAAAACAGGACAAGGTTGGGGAGAGCTGGCTGGCAGCAGTAAATCACAGTGGATGAGATACAGACACTATTTATGCTACTTAGTTATAAATATCTTCAATATGTTTTGTAGTAACACATAGATATCTTCAACATTATATAATTTGTTGCGTCAATCTTGTTGTCAGTAACACATATATATAATTTGTTAGAAGAAGAAAGAAAGAAAGAAAGAAAGAAAGAAAAGGAAAGAAAAAGAAAAGGAAAAAGAAGAAGAAAAAAAACTCACCAGCCTGCAGAAGACTGTTGTGCAATGCCATGACAACCTAGGAGAGATAATTGCTGTCCATGTTCGGGCTGTTTATCCCCTCTATATGCAGGATGTGACTTCTCATGTGTCCTCGTTATAAACAGACTCACTCACCACTCTCCAGATAGCTGTTTCGTACGATGGCATTCTCGACCTTGGATAGCTGAATGCCGTCCGTGTTGGGGCTGTTGAATGGGCTGAGAATGGTTATCCCCTCTATAAGCAGTTCGTTACTGTTTTGCACCTTGAGGTGTGCACCTCCTGGGTTGCTGTAGACAAAAACGGGACAAGAAAGTTCAAATACAGGGAGGACAAAACAGGAAGCAAGAAGGGAGAGATGCTGCTGAGAGGGGAGGGCTACAGGTGAGTTGCTGCGTACAGAACCTTGAAAGATCATAGAGGCATCAAGGCAAGCCAGCAAAACACACCCGCAGGTGGTTTTGAGTCGACTGAAAATATTACTTTTAGTTGGCTCAAAAAACACTTCCGGAGATGCTGCCCAGGTGCCCAGGCTCAAATTTAACTAAAAATCACCTTTTAGTTAGAGCTACAGGTGAGCATCTGGAACCTCAATAGAGATGTCAAGGCTAGCCAGCACAACACACCCGCAGGGTGACATGAGCAAATAACCGAACCACGGTTCGGTTCGGTGAGGATCGATTCGGATCGGTTCGGATCGGATCGGTTCAGTTAGGTTCGTTCAGATCGATTCGGATCGAAGCAACCAACTCACACCAGCCTCACGCCCTGCACTGCAGCGATTTCGCAGCGGGTGAGAAACAGCAGTGCCTCGCTTGCTCCCCTTGAAAATGCCCAGAGGAGAGCAACCAGCAGAAGCAAACCAGCTCGCTTGCTCCCCTTGCCCCGCGCCCAGAGCCCCTCAAGAGACATGACGGGCAAGCAAGCACCCCCAACTGTAACTCACGTCAGCCTCACGCCCTGCACTGTAGCGTTATCGCAGCGGGAGAGAAACAGCAGCACCGGCCGCTTGCTCCCCTTACCCTGCGCCCAGAACCCCGCCCCCTGCCCGTCCATCCACCCGCCTCCTGTAATCGCGAGGTTGAGAACCTCTCTAAAAAGCAACAGCCCCCACGCATCGCTCTTTTGTGGCTTGGGGTAGGAGGTCACATTGGCTGGCCCGGCAATGCCGCCGTTGATCTGATGTGGGAGGGAGAGGCGCAGAGAGGAACAAAGGAGGGTGTAACGCACAGGCTGGGCACCTCTCTAAAACGTAAGAGCCCTCGCACCTTGCTCCTGCGAGGCTTGGGGTAGGAGGTCGCGTTGGCTGGCTCAGCAATGCCGCCAAGTCTAGTTTTGAGGCGCCTCAAAACTAGGTCATGTTGGCTGGCCCAGCAATGCCGCCGTTGATCTGATGTGGGAGGAGACGGCAGCGGGAGATGGCGAGAAGGGAAGAAAGGGGCGGAGTGGGCAGCGGTGATGCGCGGTTGTGAGGGATGAGCATTGTACAGATAAATGCCCCCCATGTGTTGCTCTTGCGCTGCTTAAAATTACGACGACACGTTGGCTGGCTTTTGAGTCAACTCAGAAGGGACGGAGTGGGCAGCGGTGATGCGCGGTTGTGAGGGATGAGCATATGTTGCCCTTGCGCTGCTTGGGGTACGACGACTTGTTGGCTGGCTTTTGAGACGTCTCAAAAGTCAATGTACAGTCCCCATATGTTGCTCGTGCACTGCTTGGATTGCGACGACACGTTGGCTGGCCTGGCAATGCCACTGTTGATTGGTCGGGCGATTGAGCCGAGGAACAAGGGGAGACAGAGAGGGAAGGGAAGATAGGGGCGGAAGGGCCGTGGGGATGGGTTGCTGCACTGCTTGCTTGGGGTTAGAAGTCACGTTGGCTGGCCAGGTGATGCCTCCGTTGACCTGTTGACTTTTGAGTCGACTCAGAAGAGTTGACTTTTGAGTTGACTCAAAAGTCAACTCGGAAAGGCAGTGGGGATGGGTTGCTGCACTGCTTGCTTGGGGTTAGAAGTCACGTTGGCTGGCCGGGTGATGCCTCCGTTGACCTGTTGACTTTTGAGTCGACTCAGAAGAGTTGACTTTTGAGTTGACTCAAAAGTCAACTCGGAAAGGCAGTGGGGATGGGTTGTTGCACTGCTTGCTTGGGTTTAGAAGTCACGTTGGCTGGCCGGGTGATGCCTCCGTTGACCTGTTGACTTTTGAGTCGACTCAGAAGAGTTGACTTTTGAGTTGACTCAAAAGTCAACTCGGAAAGGCAGTGGGGATGGGTTGTTGCACTGCTTGCTTGGGGTTAGAAGTCACGTTGGCTGGCCGGGTGATGCCTCCGTTGACCTGTTGACTTTTGAGTTGACTCAGAAGAGTTGACTTTTGAGTTGACTCAAAAGTCAACTCGGAAAGGCAGTGGGGATGGGTTGTTGCACTGCTTGCTTGGGGTTAGAAGTCACGTTGGCTGGCCGGGTGATGCCTCCGTTGACCTGTTGACTTTTGAGTTGACTCAGAAGAGTTGACTTTTGAGTTGACTCAAAAGTCAACTCGGAAAGGCAGTGGGGATGGGTTGTTGCACTGCTTGCTTGGGGTACAACGTCACGTTGGCTGGCCGGGTCATGCGGGCGATGCCTCCGTTGACATGTTGTGTGATGTGAGCGAGCAGAGGAACAAGGGGGGGGTGCAGGACGTTGGCGCACAACACGGCCCCTCCAGGTCGATGGGAAAGGTCCATACTTAGCCCCCAATTTTCCCCAATACTCCCCACATTTTACCCCTTACCGCAAATGCCCCCAATTTTCTTCCGATACATATTTTTTACACCACTCCCCTCCTCCATCTGTCTCCCAATTTTTCCCAAAATTGACCCCGATTTTCCTCCAAATTCACCTGACTTTTCTTCGCACTTCCAGCCCCGCG